CGCCAATCAAACATTTTCATTCACATTTTGCCAAAAAAATATATATGTACATGTAATTTCCGGGGAAAAAAACCAACATAAAACTAATTATAGGAGGATGCGCCTATTAGTCAACTTTACTCATCAACATCATTTGACTTTTTTTCTTGCTTGACAACATCATTTGACTTTAGTTGTTGTTGATATTATTTTATTATATTTATTATCTACTGATTAATTCTTAAAATTCAAATAATATGTCAAAATAGTATTAGGGAGACAACAATAAACTAGTAAATTTGGGACAACATACTGGGAATTTGGGTCGGAAAAAATTGAGTTACTTCCACAAATGATCTCTGAGATTTACACTTAATCGTACTATAGTGCCTGACTTTTCAAATGTCTTACAATTAGCCTTTAAGGTTATATTTTGTTTCAATTTCGGTCTTTCCATTCACTATGGGTAAAAATTTGATACAATCTGTATAAATTAATGACCAAAATAAAAAACAGCTAAAAATTTTAAAATTATACGTGAAAATTAACTTTTGTCTTTTCATTATTTTGGTCTTGGAACTTTATATGTTTCTAATTTTAATCCATAATTCTCAAAGATTTCAACAAATATTTAGCACCAAACTAACATAAGAACTAAAAATGAAACAGAATAAAACCCTACGGACAAACTCTGAGACGATTGAAAAGTTAGGGACCAAAGTGGAATTGATGGTAAACCCATATACTTTTTGTGAGACTAACCCTAAAAAATTTAACGAGTGATTTTGATTACAAGCTTATTGTGAAGAGCTAAGGCCTTGTTTGGTATGTGGGTTTTGGGTGATATGAACCGAAGGTTTGGTCCAAAATAATGTTTAGATGTCAAAATAACATTTAACTTTGAATGCTCAGATTCGACATGTAAACCTAAAGTCAAAATAGCAATACTAAAAAGCTCCGGCCAATATTACACAAGGCTTGGAATCGCTCCTAGAAAGAGTGAAATGGAGAATGGATGATGGTACTTGTGGAAAAATAAGAGAATAAAAAATATTTCTTATTCTCTAAATTAATTCTATACAGCCGGCCCTCTTAGGGTTTTATACACAAAAGTAGAATCTCCTAGATTACACCTTATCCCATTATTCATGGGATATCAAGAAATTAACTCATTACCTTAATCCTAGGAATACAAAATATAAATTTCAAACTTTTCTAATATATCCTATTTACAAAATCAATAGATTGCATTTTTCACACTCTCCCTCAAGCTGGTGAATAGGTGTTCACCATTCCCAGCTTGGACACAAGATTATGAAACACTGAACTATTAAGTCCTTTCGTGAGTACATCAGCAAGTTGACCCTTGTACAGATACGTAGGGTGTACAAATCAGGCCACTGTCCAGCTTCTCTTTGATGAAGTGTATGTTGATTTCGATGTGCTTTATTCTATCGTGCTGTATTGGGTTGTGAGCTATGATGATTGTAGATTTGTTGTCACAGTAGAGTCTCATTGGGCCATCCCACTTAATCGTCAAATCTTCTAAAATAATCTTCAACCATAGCAATTCACACACACCCTGAGCCATCGCTCAGAATTCGGCCTCTGCACTAGAACGAGCTACAACATTATGTTTCTTACTCCTCCACGTCACAAGGTTTCCACTAATAAAAGTGCAATAACCGGAAGTTAACCGTCTGTCTACCATTGACCCAACATAGTCTGCATCTGTATACGCTTCAAGCACTACTCCTCCATTCCTTTTGAACAAAATACCTCTGTCTGGTGTCCCTTTGAGATAATGCAATACTCGGTATGCTGCATGTAGATATGCCTCCTTCAGATTATGCATGAATTGACTAATCACACTTACCGCGTATGCTATATCTGGCCTAGTATGAGATATATAGATAAGTCTCCCTACCAAGCGTTGATACATCTCTCTATCCACTGCAACATCTTCTTCCGCTTCTTCGAGCTTCAAATTTGGATCTATTGGAGTGCTCGTCGACTTGCATGCGGTATTCCCGGTTTCTTTGAGAAGATCTGTAACATATTTTTGCTGTGAGATGAAAATACCTTGCTTGGAATGAGCCACCTCGATTCCCAAAAAATACTTCAGCCCCCCTAGCATCTTAATCTCAAATTCTTTAGCTAAACATCGACTGATACGCTGCCTTTCCTCATCATCATCTCCCGTCAGTATTATGTCGTCAACATATACTAAGAGGATTGTAACTCCCCCTAAAGATGAGTGTTTGACAAACAATGTATGGTCTCCATGACTTTGTCGATATCCCATAATTGTCATTACCTTTGCAAATCTTCCAAACCATGCTCGCGGCGATTGCTTAAGTCCACACAAGGCCTTATTCAATCTACATACTGTGTGTGCAGCTAAGTTATGACCATAACCCAGTGGAACCTCCATGTAGATTTCCTCCTCTAGTTCTCCGTGCAAAAGCGCATTCTTGACATCAAACTGTTGTAGCTCCCAATTATAATTGGCTACTAATGATGACAAAACTCTTACCGTATTCATTTTAGCCACCGGAGCGAATGTCTCTTGGTAATCAATCCCATAGGTCTAGGTATACCCCTTAGCAACCAACCTCACCTTGTATCTTTCTATTGAACCATCTGCCCTATATGTCACGGTGTAAACCCATTTACCTTCCACTGGTTTCTTCCCTTCAGGCAATTTCACAAGCTCTCAAGTTTTGTTCTTCTCCAATGCTTCCATCTCCATATTCATAGCCTGTCTCCATTTTTCATCAGTTAAAGCCTCAGCCAAATTGGTAGGGATGGCAATAGTATTTAGGCTGACAAGAAAGGCTTGATGGGATGGTGAGAATTTTTCAAAGGAAAGAAATTGTGCAAGTGGGTATAGAGGTCGACTTACACATTCTCTAACTCATTTTCTAATGGCAATGGGAAGATCCTGATCATCATTATTCATGTAGGTTTCAGAAAAATGATTAGAAATTGTTACCTCATTTCCAGAGCTCGGGTTGGAGTATTGAACTTGCACAGATTCCGGGATAGCCTTCTTCCTTCTTGAAAACACTTTGTCTTTGCCAAATCTTACAATCTCAATGGCAGAACTTAGGTTGTCAGGCTCAGTGGAGTGAGGTTCAGGTTCAGTGGAGTGAGGCTCGGGTTCAGGAGAGTGGGGTTGGGAAAAATCGAGTTTTGATGGATGAAGATAAAGAGATAGAAAATCCCCCCTGTCCTTATCTTCCACTATTGAATTCTCCCCCTGAAGATAAGGATCATTGAAATAGGATTTGTCTTCATGGAAAATAATATCAACCGAGACATAAAACCTTTTTGAGGGAGGATGGTAACATTTGTATCCTTTATGAGTAGAAGAATAGCCTACAAAAACACATTTGACTGCCCTTGGATCTAATTTCCCCTGTTTGGAGTATGGATATGGACAAATGCCACACCCGAATATCTTAGGAACCAGATTATTCGTAGTACGTAGATTTGGATAGAATGAGGAAAGCACGCTCATTGGACTTTTGAAACCCAAAATCCTAGAAGGCAAACGATTTATAAAATGTGTAGATGTAAGAACTGCTTCCCCCCAAAGGGATTTAGGCACATTTTTCTGGAACATAAACGATCGAGTGGAATCAAGAAGATGGCCATTTTTCCTTTCTGCCACTCCATTTTGCTGTGGAGTATTGATACATGACGATTCCTTCCTTTTGGAAATATGGACTGAGGACTTGATTGAAATTGTCCCTAGAATTGTCGGATCTGAATCTCTTGATATTAACCCCAAATTGGGTCTTTACCATAAAGCATAAATTTGGAAAGACATTACTGACATCGGATTTCTGTTTAAGTAAAAATATCCAAGTGACTCGAGTACAATCATCAATAAATGAGACAAACTATTTTGCCCCTGTCACATTAGGAATAGTAGAAGGGCCCCAAATATCAGTATGAATGAGATAAAAAGGAATATAGCTTCTTTTATTATTGATTGGAAAAGGTACACGTTTGTGTTTAGACAGTTCACACACTTCACAATGAAAATGTTCAATATCTAGACCTCTAAATAAGGAAACAGAATTTCGATAATCCTAAACGATGGATGGCCAAGTCGGCGGTGGTGATAAGAGAACTTCTAAGACAAAAGAGTGAGATGTTGAGCCCTTGATAATGCTTGATTGACTAGGTGTTTCAAGAAGGTAGAGTCCATCCTATTCTCTAGCACGTCCAATCGTCCTCCCCGAATCCTCGTCCTGAAATAAACAGTAACTATGGTGAAAAAAATACTCTGCAATGTGAATCTTTGGTAAGCTTTTGGACAGAAACAAGGTTTGTGGTCAATCAAGGAACATGGAGAACATTTTTTAATGCCAATGATGTGCTTATTTTAACATCTCCTATGACTGCTATAGTGGTTAATGATCCATCTGCGTTAGTTACTTTTCTACTGTTTGAACATGGGGTATATGAGGCAAACATGTTTGGTGAGTGGGTCATATAGTCGGTAGCACCAGAGTCAATGACTCAGGAGCCGGTAAGAGTTATATCTGAGACATTTAATCCAATGGAAAATGAAGACTCACCTAAATACGTCAATGAACAAGTACCTGACGATTTGTTGAAATTGCCTATAAAGGATCTTACTCGTTCAATTTCCTCTTGGCTGAGACTCCCCATCTCTTGCAGTGTTCCCTCACTTTGCTGCCCTGCTGCAACATGAGCTTGTCCATGACTTTTCGGCTGCTCTCCTTTCTGCCCCCACTCACGGCTTGGTGATTTCCCATGCAGCTTGACCGTTCTTTCTCCTTGTCTTGTAGCGATTGTCTTTACTTTGACTTCCTAGACTTGAGCAGCATCCTTCGCCTTGGAGTACGTTTGTTAAATTGCATCCCATATATCCTTGGCAGTGGCCAAGAACATACATGTATCGCTAATCTCTGGAGTCATGGAGTTCCACAACCATGCCATGATCATCGAATCCTCCTCATCCCACGGTTCAAATCGTAGATCTTCTGGTTTTGGTCTTGTCCCTAAGATGTGGCTGATTTTTCCTTTCTCTTTTAGCACAATCTGAACAAGTTGGGAGCATTTAAGGTAGTTTTTTCCATCCAGCCTATATGCGGTCTGAATGTTATACAATTCCCCAACCTGTTGAGGCCTAACGGTATCTGCATCCTCCGACCGTGTTGTAACGGTTGTCTCTGCCACCTCTGACATCCTCAACAAACCAAGCGGTCTCCAAGCATTAATTAAGGCCGGTTGTGTCAAACAAAATACCAGTGATAAAGGCTTATATAATCCAGGCACTCTCTTATGGAAGCGTCCTAACAGCAGTGGCGACAGGGCAGAGAAAAGAAAAAACAACCCTTGCCGATGAAGGCCACGATCAGAACACGACAGTAGCGAACAGAGGCAACGACATTTTTGGTGTGTCTGTACAGTTCCGTACAGAGTGGCAGTGGCCAAAGTTGCGGCAATGAATCAATGGAACTTCAAAAAAAAAAAAAAAAAACAGCAGCAATGAAGCCTTCTGGAGAGAGTGATGATCATGGATATAGGCAATAAAGGCCCTGTGACGAGGCTTGGCAACGAAAGCCAAGAAAGAAATGGCAATGAAGGCCTAAGAAAAAATAATGTAACCTAGGAAACCTAGGGCTCTAATACCATGTGGAAAAATAAGAGAAGAAAAAATATTTCTTATATTCTAAGGATTTTATACACAAAAGTATAATCTCCTAGATTACACCTTATCCCATTATTCATGGGATATCTAGAAACTAACTGATTACCTTAATCCTAGGGATACAAAATACAAATTTCAAACTTTCCAAATATATTCAATTTACAAAATCAATAGATTGTGTTTTCCACACTACTTTCATTCATTTTTTGGGGAGATATTTGGTGTGGTGATCACCTTTGAAGGAAAGCGTACTTTACAACTTGATAGAGAGATGCAGAGACAAATTATGTTTCAGTTTTCAATGAAGCTGCCAATTTGAATGTAACTTCAAATTCAAAAGAAATTAAAGTGATAGAGAGCTTGATCAATTTTCAAAACTATTTATGCCTTGGGTAATATGTCTTTAGCAACATCTATTGTTGATCAGCAAGTGTTGGTGTGTGATCCAAAAGGTTTTTCTTGCAATTCCTATTTTCATACACTGATTTGTAATAATTATGTCCACTCTTTTGATCTAAGTATTTGTTTCGTTACTTTTTCATAAAAGACTTAACATCAGTGATGTGGTTCAAAGGAAAAACCCTAATTTTGTCCTCTCCCATTCAATGATACTGGTCTCAACTTGGTAATGTCTTCTCAATGTAATGAATTCTAGCGGAGGAGATTTTGGATTTGAAATAAGTAGGAAAGCCCATGCGATGTGGAAGCCAATCAAGATTGCTATTTAACCGGTGCTTTGGTTAGAAAGAAATCAGAAAATCTTTTAACAGAAAAAATTGTATAAAGAAGACTAGTTTGAGAAAGCAAAATATCTTGCTTCTTTATGGGCATCGACAAATACGTCTCTTTACTTAATTATGTTGAATTGGGTGGATGTTCTAGATTAGGGGGAATTTTAGTTTTTGTTGGCTTGACTTTTGTTATTCTCTCTCTCTCTCTCTCTCTCTCTCTCTTTGGAGGATTCCTCATTTGTTGTTGTACTTTTTATATTTTTCTTTCATTAATAAAGTTTTCAGTTTCTTATAAAAAAAATACTATTCTCAGGATGGCGACGGTGGTGGGGCCTGTGGAAGTAAGGAAGAAAGAGAGATTTGGGAGAAAAAGTTTAATGTTTGGAAAGGTAACTAGAGAGAGGGGATGAGAGAGATGAAGGTTTTAAAATTGGTTGAAGAAAAACAATGCTCAGAACACAAGACTTCTCACCAAGCAATTGGTGAGAAGCTAGCATTAGTAACACGGTCAATTTGACCCGTTAGGAAAAGGATGGAATAGAAGTAGAACAATTCTAGGAATAACTTAATGAAGACATGCGAATATGATCAAATGGATGCCGTTTCAGATAACAATTCCAATACAAATACTAATGCCAATGCTATATTTAGCACCAAAAAGTGTGAAAATGTCACAATTTGTGCTCCATGCATGGTGTTATTTTACATGCTTTATCTACTCTTTGTCATAATCATTAAGCTTTGGATATTATAAAGTAAATTGTTAATTTTGAAATAACTTAATGTAGGAAAGTTCATACATCAACCAATAGTAATAAAATGTCAAAATTTGGCATTTGTCATACTTGGCGCCAAATTTGTCACAAAGTATAGCATGTCAAAGTTAACACTAGCATTGCATTGGAGAGTCATTACACTACTTAGATGCTAAAATTTGACATTTAAGGTTTTGAGCGATAGAAATAGAATATATAAAGTGACCTAAACGAGATTACTTGGAATATTCAAGACACTGATAAATGTTGCAGCAACACAAGACTTCTCACCAAGCAACCGGTCAATGGAAAGCATTTTCAAAACAAAGTTGATCCTTTCGAAAAGGGACTATATAGAACAATCTTTAGGAAAAAGAAAATCCAATCATCTATTACATATATAGGGTAAAATATTTGATATGGTTAGGCATCAAGTATATATTGTCTGATAACTTGCTTCAAAGATATGATAGTGAACTAATAGGAATTAAGTATGATCCGGTAACATAATATATATATATATATATATATATATACATACATATATATACAGAATGGAGATCGGAATTACCTGCTCGCCCCACATGCAACAAAACATCAATATTGATATTGCGTATATAAAAAGAAGAAATTAACACTGTATGACAACGAAGGAAAGCACGCATGTGCACAGCCATGCCATCTTGCGCATGATTATCAACAAGCGTGCTCTCTCTCATTGTCATCCAAATATTTACAAGTTGATGATCATCAACCCGCCGTGAGATGAGAAAACTGCAAAAACAAGATAAAATACATCATCCTTCAAAATAATATCTTCAAAGACAATCAGTTAAATAGGAAAAAAAAGGGTCAAAACTTTGCTTACCTAGAAGGAAAATTAAGAAACCAAACATATGAATGAGCCAAAAATTTCGATCTTCGCATGATGTCTGAGACCGAGTTACCTGAAACTGAAACGGGGAAAAAGAGAAAATAATGCAGAAATAAGCCATTATCCTCTCACCGAAAGTTCATGTAAAGTCTAAATGAAAAGCGAACAAAAACCAAAAAAAGAAAAGTAGGCGCAAATCAAGCTAAAGGTAAATATACACCAAATCCACAGAAAGATCAGACAGAAATTTTAGTTCCGCTGAACAAAATATGGAATATCGGAATTCCCTATATTGGTCAATTAATTCCCAAATACTACATATATATACTAGAAAGAAAAAAAAGATAGAATCAAGGGATGGACGGAAGAACATCATGATTGAAAAATGATAACCGTGGAAAATCACATGCAATTAAACGATCCCCTTCAGATTATGACCCACGTGGAAAATCTAGCCACAAACCTCAAACCTTAAACCTATATATTGTGAACAAATCACAAGAGAAAACAAAACACAAAAAGCTTTTCAGGGAATCTGAGAGTTATGGAAGGAAGGATTTTTTCCCAATCAGCCAAGAGTGGAAGTTGCATGAAACCCAAATGCTCAGTTTTTTTTTTTTTTTTTTTTTTTTTTTGAAAAAAAAAAAAAACTGTGAAAACTAAGAAGTAATGCATATATATATATATAAGTATGTATATACGTATATAAAGGGAAAAAGAAAAATAAAAAGAAATATTAGATCTTTTTTTCCCCCTCAACAGCTACCTATCAGCGCATGACGAATTTCTTGTGTTAATTACAAAGTTTAAGAATCTCAAAAACCATTGCGCAAAACACGAGTAATAAAGTATAAACACAGAAGGAAACATATATAAGAAACGATTGGGCTAAGCTAAAGAATGAAAAAGTCAAAGTGATTTGGTAGAACATCAGAAGATTGATCTTGATAAACATATAAGTACCAGATTTAAAACCTTTCACACTCAAAATAAACAACCTAAAGGGCACAGAAAATAAAGATTGTAAAGCAAAAGATGAAAAGAAAAAAATAACAAAAAAAAAGTAAAGTGCAAGAGATGTTGGAAGTGTTAACAGAAACGGAAACAGAAAGAAAGTAAGAAGCTTTGACCAAAAAAAAAAAGAAGAAGCTGGTTCAGAGAAGAACGGCGCAAGTATGGTGCTGAGAGAGAGAAGGAAGATATTCCGGACCTTGAGACCGACAAAACTGGGGGAGTACCCTTCGAGAAGACGAAGAGTTTTCCTGGTTTCACTCGCAGCTTCCACACCAAAACACAAGCGCACAAAGAACAAGAAGATAATAACCATCACAGCGCCAATCAAACATTTTTATATTCACATTTCACCAAAATAAAAATTAAAAAATAAATTATTTTCGGGGAAAAGAACAAACAAACAAACAAAAATCAGAGAGTGCGCCTTTACTCATCACTTGTCCTTGATAACAGCTTATTTAGTTGTTTAAATATAAAATATTACTTATGTGATTGAATTTATAAATTTAAATCGGATGCCAAGTATTAGGGCGACAGCAATGACAAGTAAATTTATAGAAAAATTAAATTAAATTAAATAGCGAGTAGTTTTGACTGTAAGCTCTTCTAAGAATTAGATGTCATAAGCTTAAAGTGACGTATAGTCAGCTCCATGCGAGCTAACCTTCTCACCAACAAATGCATTTACCATGATATGTCGATTTATTTTTATCTTAAGGCTCTTTAGAGGAATGAGCCTAATTCTCAACTATCGAAATCATAGTTCTAGTTTAAATCAGTGTTGTCTACAAAAAGCAAAAAGTGGTTTGAGTCCAGCCAACAAAACCAATTTTGGTTTGGATGGTTCTGGTTCAAAGTTTGAATCTTATTGTGATGTTTTAAACTAAGAGCACCCTGAAAAATAAAACCACCTCCCCTCTTGGTTTTGATTGGTTCAAACTTCTGGTTCTGGTTCACAAAGTTCAAACTCAAAAATTCATGGTTAAAACCCCAATTTAAACTATAAATCATGGTTCTGGTTTCAAAACCGAAACCACCCTGATTTGAACTCTTATACCGAACGTAACCTTAGCCCCTTCTTGGTCTAATAACGAAGTATATCGTGCAAGCCTCATCTTAAATCATCTCGTCTAATCAAAATCATTCACACATGTATTTTTATCTTTTTGTCAAAATATGAATTGGGATGTTATTTCTTCGAAAGGATAAATATATCCTGTAGTATGGATAGACAATGAAAACATCAATGCGCGTTGATATAAATTTTTACTAGTCTATCAAATATCAATGCATATTGATACAATCTTTTAGTGTTAATATAAAATACACCAACAAACAATTGGTTCTACTTAGGGAAGATAGCTTGTACAGGGTTACACAAATGGAGGTCACCCAATTAAGAGGTACACTAAATATATCATGAATCTTCTAACATTGATAAAAATATCCAATCATCTAAAATAAAAAACCATATAGCATTAAGACAAATAAACAAAAAATAAAAATCTAGTAGGCGTAAAACAAAACAAAGCACTAAACAAACAAGAGAGACACACTAACTTGTCAGGTAGGAACCATCATCATTATAGACTTAGGCGCTAACTCAAAACAACCAACACCCTTACCCTAATCCTTTTTCATAGTTGACAATTGAGCCTTGCAACAGCAAACACAAGCACCCCTCCCCCGCAATCCTAAGGGCCCCAACCATCTCGACGCGTCAACATTGCAAGCTCTGGTACGAAAAGAAAAGATTGGGAGCTCAGCGAAGCACCTGAAGTGTAACACCGAAGTTAATTTCTTATTTCACTAATACAATCACATATTTTTTAGGACAAAATTATGGTTCATGCTATCATTTTAGAATGTATTATAGGTGTGCTCTTTGTTTAAAATATACCAATTGTGGTTATGGGTTTATAAGGAAGAGTAACTAAATATCAAGCTGAGGGAGGAAGGGAGTGTACGATTCGTCGTTGCTAGTTCTTCTTTTATTTCGTCTGTGTACATGAAACAATGTATCATTATAAACAACGTATCATTCCATTCATTTCTCTTTATATAGACATATATAATATTATATATATAACATAAAAGAAAAAAGGGATTTATTGTCTAATTCATTCACAGGTTTAAATATAAAATTTAAATTTGTTAAAGTGAGAAAAAAGATTACTATAGCCATGTGAAACAAACTAATTCATTGATCAATTCCAGTTTGTGGGAACCCCACATTAATCACCGAGCCCCCTAATCTTAACAATTTGGTTTGCTCACTGATAAGCATTGATTATGATGTGGCATTAGTGTCGTAGTTGTTAATCAGTTGTTTTCAATCTACTGATAATTTTGAATAGCCCTAAATTTTGTATTGCGCAACTCAATTTTACGTCACTTGATGAGGGTTAAAGCGATATTAATCTAATTTACCACAAGTTCCTATTTAATTAACACAAAGTTAAAAACGCCTTTTAGAACGTTTGGTTCATAAATTCAGAACCATTCTCGATGTACGTGTGTTTTTTATGAGAAAAAACACTGTAGCGAGCCACGAACCATGATCCGAATCATCGCACAGATCCTTGCTCTAAACACACCTTAATGATTTAGATGATTTAATAATCATCTTCGCCTTAGAACTGAAACAAACTGCACAATGCATCGCTAAATATTGAATTTGCCAAATTAGTGATGTATGTAAACTCATGATATTAATTCTACTTAGGTATTTTCTTCTCATAAAGAATATGAATTCAAAGTTCTCTACTAATAGTTCTCTCAGAAAGTTCTCATCAATGAATCAAAATCACTGATTTGAACATATGAATCAAGGGGGCCATAAATTCCATTGTATTTACTTCCTCACTAATCAAATTTAATTAATAGAACGTTCTAAAAGTGTGCACTAATGAATCAAGATATATTGTTTTATTTTCTTGTCTTGATAGCTGTCTTTTTAATTAAATTTTGACGTCTCTTGAATTACTCACGTATTTTTACCATTTTATTCATATTTATGTAGATAAATTCTTAAATTTAAATTTAAATTTAAACGATACGATAAATGATTAATAGAGAGTAAGTCATTGAAGACATGCAAATTACAAGGAGATCTAGATTTGTGCACGAATAATTCTGACTATATCAGTGCTCAGCAGACAAGACTTCTCACCAAGCAATTGGTCAGAAGCATTAGTAACACGGTCAATTTGACCCATTAGGAAAATGATGGGATAGACGTAGAACAATTCTAGGAATAACTTAATCAAGACATGCAAATATGATGCCGTTTCAGAAGAACAATTCCAATAGAAATACTAATGCCAATGTTATATTTAGCACCAAAAAGTGTGAAAATGTCACAATTTGTGCTCCATGCATCGTGTTATTTTACATGCTTTCTCTACATTTTGTCATAATCATTAAGCTTTGGATATTGTAAAGCAAATTTTTAACTTTAAAATAACTTAATGTAGGAAAGTTCATACATCAACCAATAGTAATAAAATGTCAAAATTTGACATATGTCATACTTGGTGCCAAATTTGTCACAAAGTATAGCATGTCAAATTTAACACCAACAGTTGCATTGCATTGGAGAGTCATTACACTACTTAGATGCTCAAATTTGACATTGATCTCATTAATAAAGCGTTGTATTTGAAGATGCACTAATAAGATTAAGGTTTTGAGCGATAGAAATAGAATATATAAAGTGTCCAAAAGGAGATTATTTGGAATATTCAAGACACTGATAAATGTTGCAGCAAAACAAGACTTCTTACCAAGCAACCGGCCAATGGAAAGCATTTTCAAAACAAAGTTTAACCTTTCGAAACGGGACTATATAGAACGATCTTTAGGAAAAAGAAAATCCAATCATCTAATACATATACGGGTAAAATATTCTATATGGCTATGCATCAAGTAGATATTGTCACATAACATGCTTCAAAGATATGATAGTGAACAAATAGGAATTAAGTATGATCCGGTAGCATAGTGTGTGTGTGTGTGTGTATATATATATATATATATATATGTATATATATATATAGATAGAATGGAGATCCGAATTACCTGCTCGCCCCATGTGCAACAAAACATCAATATTGATATTGAGTTGATAAAAGCAGAAATTTTGAATGACAACGAAGGAGAGCACGCATGTGCACAGCCATGCCATCTTGCGCATGATTATCAACAAGCGTGCTCTCTCTCGTTGTCATCCAAATATTGACACCTTGATCTTCATCAACCATGTGATGAGCAAACTGCAAAAACAAGATAAAGATGATACATCATGCTTAAATAATAATTGCTTGAAAAACAATCAATTATATAGAAAAAGAGTCTAAACTTTGCTTACCAAGGTGGTAAGATATCAAACGTAAGAATGAGCCAAAAATTTCGGTCTTCGCACGATGTCTAGGACTGAATTACATGAAAATGAAACAAGGAAGGAGATAAAATAATGAAAGAAATAAAAGAGAGAAAATAATGAAGAAATAAACCATTATTTCACCAAAAGTTTAACTGAAATTGAAATGACAAGCGAACAATAACCAAAAAGTAGACGAAAATCAAGCTATAAAGGTATACGCCAAATCCACATAAATAACAGGCAGAAATTTATTTAGTTCCACTTAACAAAATATGGAATTTCGAAATTCCCATTAATTCTCGAATACTACATATATACTAGCACTAGAAAAAAGATAGAATCTTGGATTGGTCGGAAGACCATCAGCAATAAATGGAAATGCTTACCGTGGAAAATCACATGCAATTAAACGATCCCCTTCAGATTACAGTGTGTGTGTATATATATATATATGTATATATATTTATATATCACCCCCGTGGAAATTATAGCCACAAACCTTAAACCTATTGTGAAGAAATCACAAGAGAAAACAAAACACAAAAAGCTTTCCATGGAATCTGAGAATTTACTAACCAAGGATCTTCCCTAATCAGCGAAGACTGGAAGTTGCATGAAACCCTAATACTCAGATTAATTTTTTTTTCTAATGAAAAAAAGAGAAACTTAAACTGAAAACTAAGAAGTTATGCGTGCATCTAAAAAAGGAAAAAGGAAAAAAGAAAACAAAAACAAAATTCTCATGTAATATTATATATCTTGTTTCGGTTTTCCCCTCATCTAGTGTACCAATCAGCGCATGACGAATTTCTTGAGATCATTACAAAAGTATAAAAATCTCAAAAACTATTGCGAAAAACACACAGTATACACAGAAAAGGAAACATATATAAGAAACAATTGGGCAAAGTTAAAAAGAAGTCAAAGGGGTTTTGGTAAAACAGCAGA